AAGAAAATTCTGCTGACCCCCGTAAAAGCCATGTTAATGTTTGATGGCCCACGACGTCATCCCTTTCTTTTCCTCGGCTGCGTGAGCAAGTGATTTTAGTATTAATGAGCCAAGTTGCCTCCCCAGCTTGCCCGATAAGCGCCATCATACTGGCCAGTGAGCCCACCGCGAAGCAGCCGAGTTGTACATAGTGGACACCGCGGTTGGGGCAGGTCAGGTCAGAGCGGGGCCGGGGCCGGGGCCGGGGCCGGGGTCAGCGGAGAGGGGAGGAGGGGGGCCACCGTGTCCAGCAGAGCGAATCGAACCGGAAATCAATGGGGGTGGGACGTGACGAGGGGGGCGGTGGGGGCAGCGTGGGGCGGCGGAGCGAGCTGGAATAAGTGGCCGGGCAGAGAGAGGGGCGCGGCCGGGGACGGAACTTCACACCCCCCGACGCCGGGCCGGGCGACCTAGCGGTCTCGACAAGGTTAAGACGTACGCAGCCACTACGGAGGAATGCGGACGCCCTGGTGGTCCCGCGACCCTCCCGCGGCGGCCCCCGGCCTGATCCCGCCACGAATAATTCATTCTCAGGACAGCACTTTTTCATGGTCCCCGAGGCCGTGTGCCTTGCGACTCGGCGGCCGCTTTCAGAGAACTATATAGACCGATCGAAAGGGTGTCTATTCGATACAGATTGGGCGATAGAAATTTAATCATTTCAACGGTGGAGACGAGGTGAAGATTCGAGCCGACCTAAAAGGGGACCTGAAAAAGGTCATGAAGTATACGTCGGCGGACTCACCCGTCCTGGGAGTGATGCGTGTCCTGGTCGGTGGCCGCGGGCGAGTGCTCGCCCGTCCCGAGCGCGGCGGCTCTGGGGGCGGGGAGGCGGCCCGCGGCCGGGGCGTTGGGTCGGCCCTTCTGAGCGGGCTGCCCGCGCTGTTGCGACCGCCCGCCGGGGGCGACCGCGCCTGCTTGGACTCTGGAGGACGCGTCGTCGACGTGGACGATCCGCTCCACAGAGCCGTTCTGCGAACACACGAGATAAAGAACAGGGTAGCAAGTAAAGGTCGCTACAGAAATTGGAAATGCTTTCCATCCTGTGAAGAAAGCAAAACCGCCCTATACACCCCGACCTCGCTGGAGTGATTGCGTCGAGTTGGGCATCCTATATTATTTAGGGAGGGCCCTGCTCTTCGAAGACGTAGAAAGGCCCCGCTGGAAATCCGGGCCTTCCCCTCTGGCCGAGCCTCTGGACAAACACGACGGGTAAAAGAGAGTCCCGAACACGGCACGCGATCCCCAACCGTCCCACGTAAATCTTTTATCCCGGCCCAGGGGGGTAAACGCCAGGGTGGCGGGAACACCCGGCCCGCCGCTCCCTACGCCCGCTCACCTGCAGGTGGAAGTGGTTGTAGTGGTTGTTGCTGTTATTGAGGTGGTGGTAGTAGTGGTGGTTGTGGTCCGCCCCGTTGGCCCCGTTGGCCTGTGGCCCCAGCGGGGGCATCTTGTGGCGCTGCTCGGGACTGGCGTCGCTACTCCCGGCGCCGGCACTACTCCTCGACTGCACCGGGGCGGAACCTGCGGCAAAAAACATTAAAATGTAATATTTTTTTTCAAAAGATACAAAGTCCCAAAATTGTTTTGATTTTGTAAAAAATTAAAACAGTTTTTCTTTGTTTAAAAATGATTCTTTGACACGGCAGGGAAAACACATTTCTGGTGCTCAGCTCAGCTCACCGGTGGGGTACGGCAGTGGGTCGAGGATCCTGCGGCCTCTCCTGTTGGTCGGCGAGCTGAGCACCCGCGGAAGCGCGGGCGCGGCCCCCGGCGGCGGCGCCGCGCTGAACGGCGCGGCCAGCGGGTCCGCCCCCGGGACCGCCCCGCGCGGCGGCCACGTCTGGCTGAGCTGGTGCTGCTGCTCCTGGTCCGCCACGGCGCCGTGCTGCTGGTGGTGGTGGTGGTGCGGGTAGGGGTACGGGTAGGGGTAGGCGTGCGGGTAGGGGCACACGAACTGCGAGTGGGGGTGCACGCGGCCCACCAGCGAGAACCCTGACAATGCAGATGCAAGAGTCCAAATAAGGAGGATTCAGATTAGACAGAGTTGGCCGTCACGGGAACACTAGCGGACGCGTTTCGCAGTTGATGTGCCGCATGAGATCCGCCAGAGAGAGCGTCCGTTTTTCTCAGAGGGGTGGCTCGGCGCCTGTGAAACTCGGGGTAGGCCACCCCGCGGTGCACCTATGCACTGCAGGCCAGATGTTGTCTACCTACCAGGCGCTCAGGGCGCTACCATAAGCTGAGCAGGTTCGTAAAACGGCAAAAAGGACGTACTTCCTGGATGATCCCTATAATGGCGCCGACTTGCATGCGGCAACAGCACCAGAGTAGTGTCCGCCGTTGCACTAGTACGCACCTTTGTCAGCGGCGCCGGCTGCCGGGGCGAAGTGCGGGTCGTGCGGCACCCGGTAGTACAGCGGCTGGCGCGTCCCCGCCGCCGTCATGCCTGCTGGGGTCGCACAGAGACGAGTAGTGTTTGAGCGAGAGGAGCAACGAGAATACTGCAAACACACCCTGTCGTGACTGCGGCCCAGGCACTATTAATTAACGCGTTTGACCCGATAATAAACTGACGTTATCTGACCCACTTTGTGCGACGAGCGCGCGACTGTCCACCCCCGGGGGCCACAGCACCCCCGCGCGGCCCCGCCCGCCCTGCAGGCCTTCATGCATAGCGTATTGACGGCGACCCACATCCGTCACTAAAAACGAAACGAGGACACGACCGAGCACGTCACCGATATAGTACCAGATA